TATCTGTGTGTTTTTGTAAGTTACTAGTCACCATTCTTAGTTGGCTATTATTAAAATTCTGCGTAAAGAATTGACCAAATCTAATGTTGCAGAGTCATAGTTTTACCATCATAACATGTTCGTACTTAGTTTGTCCTGTTTAACTAGTGCATCAAATGCATTGCAATGATTTTTACTCGAAAACAGAATTTTTTCTAAATGTCAATTTTATTTTTTTGTATCTATTCAGCAGTTACATATTGCATTAAATCGATCGATCTTTTGCTAAATCATGTTATTTTGATGTCCGTAACTTCCTTGTCTTTTTATAATGACAGCTTACTACTTTTCACTCAATTATTATTCTCATATTATTATGCAAAAAAACGTACACGCCTCAACAGACAGGCCAGGCAGGCTGGAGAGGCTGATAGCCTGTCATAGGCAGGCCAGGCCCAGGAAAAGTAGGCTTGTTTGGACCTCTGGTATCTATCGAAGCAGATCATCATCTAGACGATAAATTACAAGATACTTGAGATTATTCAAATAATAATCGTTTGATAAAGATTTGAGAAAATCAGTGACACCCAGGCTCGTTATTTTATTTGTTTGAATAATATCAACATGGTTAAGCGAAGGTACTGTCTAAAATTTTGTGACTGGTTGATTATCTTCATTTTTTAAATCACGTAGTACATTGGATGCATGGAATCTATTCTAATTTGAACAATCATGTTTTGTTATCATAAAATAAAATTTTTTCTTTGCTCTCCAAAAGCGATTATTGAATGTTGCTAGAATGTTTTCAATTTCTGTCTCTTGTAAACAATCATTGTTGTTGTCTTGAGAATGAATTTTGCTAGTAAGGATCATGATAGTTTTAATAAAGACTTCCAAACTTTTGCGTCCAGAAATGGACTATGAGCTTTTATTTCTAAATGACGTAACACAGGCATAGTTTTAAGATGTTCTGCCAACTGAGAAAATGTTTTGGTTCAACAGATAAAATATCTGTTTGAAGATAAAGCGTTGATATGATTTCATTGTTTGTTCAATTTAAGAAATGATAAAGATTATGGCGCGGATCTATAGTCAAGCGAACGTTAAACTATTTCAGACGAGGAGTACATTGAAACATCGATTGTAAATCATGAAATTCACATAATATATCAAAACTTGTAAAATATTCAAGCTTTACTGAGATATCAGTCATACGATTCCATTTATTTCCGTGATGATCAAAAACTAAAGTGATTTTTTTAATATTTTTCATTTCAAGTAAATCACGAATCACAGAATTCAATGAAGTTGTATTAACTGTGTTTACTGCTTTTATAATAAGTGTACCAATGGAGATGTACAAAATAATGTAATAATAATACATTGAATGAATGGCCAATCAATGATTTCACCATTGAATTTCAAATAAAATTTACGGAGTCTTTTCAATCCAATAAACGTCGGCTGAAATGATAGGAACGAATGAATACAACCAGGTTTATTTTGCTCCGATAATGTTAATTCTTCGATTCATTTCAAATGAACTGGTAAACGACGAGGAGCCAAAGTAAAATGATCTTTTCGACAAATAAAAACATCAAAATAAAATCGTCGACATTGAGAAATATGACTATTGAAGCGTTGATTTTGTAAATTGGCAAAACCCACTGCGATATCGGATCCGGTCATATATTTTTCAAACAAATCAGTTAATATTTCATTGGGAAGTAACTCTAATTTTGAAACTGGCATTGCAATATGGTTTGACTGCTGAAATGAGTTTGTATGTCTGTATTTGAAATTTTTTTTGTTTCGATGTTAAGATGACTGTACGTTTAAGTTCTATGAAAGTTTATGTTTCGTATGTCTAGTAGTCGTTGAATAATATTAATATTATAAAAACAAAAAAAAAACATGACGTGACAAGATATAGATTATTTCCTTATATTGACTTAAAACGATGAATTTTTCTGTTGATACTAACTATAACTGTAAATAATCTTGCCTGCTACGATGATGAAAATAAAATATTTCATTTTTCAGTAGTATATAAATAAATGTTGGCCTACCTCGTCAACGTACCTACAATAAAACAAAATCGAAGAATAACGGCGAAATACAATTTTAGGCAAGTTATTTATATTCTTAATGAAATTGTGTTTAATCTTCAAAAGTAAAATTTTAAAAGAAAATTTTAATTATATGAAAAAGAAATTAGTTAGTTTCAATTATCGAAAATAAACAGCCATTGCGCACATGAAAACGCCTCGGATATTCACGTTCGCCTAATTATGCAATTTTACTTTTTCTCAAATTCAAATGTTCTTCATCAATCTATCTAACTGTGACCGGTCAACTTGCATATTAGGTTTATTTTAATCTAAAAACAAGAGTGAAAGAATCTCGGGATTTTACTAATTATCAATAACGGTTGAAATTGCCATGCATGTCACATTCGAAAAGACAACCTTCATGACTTATTATGTATTTCAAAGGAAACTTGGAGTAGGACATTGTATTTTTATTATTAGAAAAACTTCTCTTTGACCAGCGAAATATAACATATTGATGTAATTTTGAATGCGAGCTTTGAGTTTATTTATGTCTAAGTGTAAAACAAATATAGAAATATGAGAGCCTTATTTAGTACGGATGGTAGCCGTTATACACTGCTGAAAGTTTACTAGGAATTCAGATAAATTTCTAGACTTTAAAATTTCAAATTTTCTCTATTCATCTCATAATATTTTGTCTATCAGTATGAAAGTCAATGCATATTAGAAAAATTACATTTAATATTACCGTATCAACTTTGCGTGAAGGTAGAAAGCTAACCAATGGTTATACGTACTTCTAATATTCCAGGTTGAAAAATCATGCGTTAAATCTTACCGTCGAATTTTGGACAATTTCACCGTCTATTAAAAATGTTCGATCCTTTTCTTCAAACGTGTGGTAAAAAAGAAATAATAATAGAAATAAATTGAATCGAATTCATATATAAAACAGCCAGGTCTATTAAAACGAACGCTTGCTATCTGAAAGTTAGTAATGGCCTGAATAATTCGTTGCCATAATCATCAATATATATGTTTAATTGACTATTTTTAAAGTTGAATTCAGACTTTGAAACACTTAATATGAAATCAATAACAATGAGAAGGCGAGGAAAAAACGTTTGAATTTTCTAATATTATTTTTTGATCTACCATGAATAAACAAAAAAGGAAATTTTTGATTATAAACTCGTACTAGCGTACATTCTTATTTTCATTTACAAGACACACGACTCTTAATTATGCTTTGTGTATTTTTAATGTACTAAAGATAAAAATTTAATTAATTAAAGCATTTCTTGATACTATCCTGTCTTTTATGTTGATGAAAAAAAGAATGTCCCGAATTTCTTCTCAGATTTTGTTTGATCAGTTGTTAGATTATTCGATAATGTAATCCATCGTTTTGCTTTTTTCAAAATCACTCCATGTTTTCAAAAACAAGTGCCTCATGCGAGAAGCAAACAGAACTGGAAAAAAACGCACAACAGATTAAACCTTCAAAAAGTGTTAACCTGGTTATATTTCAGGTACTCATTGAAACTGATATTTTTGCGTATTGAAATTCGTCACACGTATTTCATATTGTATTGCGTATTTAAAATAAGTAGTAGTTTATCGACATTGATTAATCATTGATTTTTTTCCATTCATAGAAAATAATATTTCTTATTCATTTTTCTTTTGCACATTTCACCTGCAACTATTGTAATAGCACGCATTGTTTTACCGCTAGAAAAAAAATGGTAGTTTCCAAGAAAAATTATAAAAAATTTTGATTCATATTACTGATCATTTAGCATCTGAAAACTTTCTAGTTTATTGCTAATACAAGTTTATCATGATTTATCAATGACGGAAAAAAGAAATTATTATTTTCAATTTCATAATCGATTGTTGCCTTAAGAAAAATGAATGCACCGTGATCGATCCGTCCAATATCGGTCTATGCATTTTTGTAACGATCTGGACCACTTCACATGTGACACAATTCTTTCAACTTGAATATTAATGGTAAACAAATTACTAGAAACCATTCAGATTAATGTTATTGTGTAGAACAACCATGGTCGTCACTTAAGAAAATCGTTAAATCTATTCCGAAACAAATCAAACAGGTAGTTCAGTATTTTGTCAATCATACTAGATTTAGATCGACGAAAAGATAACAAATGTGCAACCATCTAGTCCAAAATTCCATATTTTTCCATTTTATGATCATCAACTTTCAAATATTATAAACCCGAAATAGTACATTTTGTAGAATTGAAAATTCTCTATATACTTCAATATCGATCTTATTGAATATTTTTTCTACTGATTTGGATTCGACCAATGGCAATCTTGATGTCTACTATCCAAAAATGAGATATTTTTTTTTGTAAAAAGACGCGTCGTTGGACAGAAAACACCTGATTTATCTCTAGAAAAGATCTTAAAATTTTTCTTTACAAGTATTCTGTCCCCTAGAGAAAAATGGAAAATCAATTTATACATTTATTATCGTTATACTACTGTGAAAACGTTGAAACATTAAAATATGATCACCATGTTTTTGTTAATAATTTTGATCGTAATCTATATTTGATAATGATCATTTATTTTTATATGTTAATCAGTGAAATAGCATGAATGATACCGATGATTACTTAACGTATAGATTTGACTATTTTGCACAAGCAATGATGCATGCATCTCTTTCACATCAATACATAGCAGAGCTGATATCTTTCGGTGTTTTCTCGTTTAAACTTGTCTGCACAATTTGTTTTGTTTCATTCTTCATGTGCTGTTTTTCTTCTCTTCCAAATATCCGCGGTCAGTCTGTCTAAACAAACAATCGAAAAATATTCGACGGCTTTATCTTGTTCAATTTCTTCGCTTCGTATCGATATAAATTCATAGAGAAGAACGCCAATTCACATTTTCATTCCACTTATTATAATAATTGTTTTACCCTCCACAATGTCGATGTTTCCAACTGGTTCCAATAACAATGATGCTGCTAGTCAATTAGCTCAACCATCAATATTTAACGTGAAATTATGTCCATCGCCACAATCAATCGGATGGAATGCTGTGGTATGAGATATAATCTTTTGTTATTGAAATCAAAAACTTCTTTTATTTTGTTTTAGCTTGTTGTATTATTATCTTCTATAGTTATAATTGTTTTTCTGTTAACAGTTCTTTATTATTTTATTTCTCGTCGTCGATATTTCGATGAAAATTCGGATAATCCAACTTCCATTCCACTTGCTGAAACGAATGGAGTAACATCCGTACCGATAACATGTACATCACAAACAGCAACTGCAACACTTATAACTGAGTCTGACAAAGAAGTCACAATTACGACTTATACCGAAAAAACAACAACTGTCAATGGTAATTTAGGTGGGATGGCAGCTATTGGAAATGGACATACAAGATCACCAACTAAAAATGGACATGTATCCAATGGTAGTGCTCATCCAAGTGAACATCGTTTACTTCAACATGAACATAATTAAAGATACAAGAAAGCAAATCAATTGTCTTATTTGTTTTTGTATATATATATATGTTTCTTGTGCTGGTGTATTATTATGTGTAGATAAAAATATTAGCTATGTCTTCAATTAAATCAAAGTTATGAAGTATAGAGAGTCGTATGAGTTACTCTAATAAACTTAGATGAAATCAAATATTATTCTTGTGTGATACTGTACTCGTTTCGGATTTTCGAAGTAAATCTCTTTGTATTTAGAAAGGTTCATTTGATACTTGGCAATGTTAGATTAATCTTAAGAGAGTATTGAATATTTATAAATAGTCTGAACCTTTGGCAAGCGAAAGAGATTGTTACTAAGCTGTTGGCGCATCGGAAGGGTAGCGTAGAAGGATGTAAATACTAACATGTACTCGGAAGAAAAAAAAACGACTAATGTGCAGACTGAAAAGAATCACAGAAAAATCTATATCAGTTTTGATATTTGTTCCGTGTGAAACTGAATTTTGCGTCGGAGTAAACTTTGGTATTTCTCGCAATTTTTTCAAAAGCCTTCATTTTACTAGAAAACAATACGTTTCGAAGCTCTACCGAAACAAAACAAAATATTCCTTCAATTTTTCACTTTTGTTGGCTCTATAAAAATGAACTCCTTAGTATGAAAATTCGTAATTTTCACGATAATTTTTTCAATCGATCTTCTTGTTTTCAAAATAGGGTTCTGTTTTGTAAATGTAATTTTACCCGTAAATTCATCGAAAAAAAATCTGTAGGCGAGTAACATCGTTTGTTGGTAGATTGAGTTCCATGAAATAAAAAGAAAATCTGTGTTTTTTTTTGAATTTCAATTATATTAAAAATTTGAAAACGCTCGATATCGTCATTTCGGCAACAAGCTTCTTCCTATGTCAACAATGCAAGTCATTGTGTAAGGGTTTTCTATTTCCTTGTATTCTTCCTATGAATTGTTGGAAAAGTTTTATAAATAAAAAAAAAGAAATTAAACAAACATTACTAATCTAATCTGTAGATATTCATGAACAATTACTAGAGCATTATTGTGAATATTGACAATGTTGCACTAGAGAATCTAGAAGCTAGTCGTTCTTTCTTCCTTTCTTTTTTTCTTTCTCCTTGTTGTTGTTGTTTTTTTTTTTTTCTTCTTCTTTTTCTCCTTTCCAGTTAATTGTATAAAAAGGTGCGAGCATAGATTTTGCTTCACCTACACGTCGAGAATATTCTAGAATATTATTTTACTATATATTCATACATTGACGCGCTATTCATCTGTTGTTTTAATTCAAATTTCGTTCGCATATACATTTATCATATACCATGGCTCGTTCTAATGCTGGTAACAGAAAAGGTTTAGCAATTGGTATCGATTTAGGTACGACCTATTCTTGTGTTGGAGTATTTCAACATGGTAAAGTTGAAATAATTGCAAATGATCAAGGAAATCGAACAACACCGTCGTATGTTGCATTCACCGATACGGAACGTTTGATTGGTGATGCTGCTAAAAATCAAACAGCGATGAATCCATCAAATACAGTTTTTGATGCTAAACGTTTAATCGGAAGACGTTTTGATGAAGAAACTGTACAAAAAGATATTCGCTTATGGCCATTTAAAGTCGTTAGCGGTAAAGACCGAAAGCCGTCTATTGAAGTTGAATTTAAAGGCGAAAGAAAAGTAAGTAGTAGAGTTGTTTTTTATTCTTTTATTCAAAATTACTTACTATTTTTATGAAGCTGTTTTCTCCCGAAGAAATTTCTTCTATGGTATTGACAAAAATGAAAGAAACTGCCGAAGCATTTCTAGGCACAACTGTCAAACAAGCTGTCATCACTGTTCCTGCTTATTTCAATGATTCGCAACGGCAGGTAAGCACAACAATAATAATAATCAAATAATAGAATGTTAGCGATCAACAGAAAGAGAAAGAAAAACGGCATGGCTTGTTTTTTCATTCTATAAATAATATTGTTCGAACTTTCTCGAACATTTTTCTCGATATCAAATGATAAATAGATAAACATGAGTAATTCGTTAGATGGTGCTATTAAAAAATAATGATACAAACAAAAGATTTTTATCATTATAAAGTAGACCGCGGGAGAACAATACACTAAAGTTCATCTTTGTGTTTTGCGGTAGCTTCTGTGTCTTTATAGTTTAATGGTGTAGGCAATAAATTTTTATGCGTCGATATTTACTTAGTGTTCTATTAGAATATTTATTGTGTCTCCTATGAATAAAGATGTACCCGATGATCCACTAATCGGCATTAGAGCGTGTCAAAGAATCGACAGCATGACTTCGATAAAGTGGAGTAATTGAGATTATAAACTCAAAATTATTATGGTCAAAACGATAGTTTGATGTTAGATATGTTATCATCTAGACAAATATCTGAAAACAAACTAGACTACTAGCGTGGAGAATGAAATTAAGAACAAGCTATTTATACCGAACAAACTTTGATCCTGTTGCACTCGTCTCAAATATTTGTTTTAGTATTTTGAATGGCTTTGATATATTTTAGGCAACAAAAGATGCTGGTGCTATTGCTGGTCTCGATGTTCTTCGAATTATAAATGAACCTACGGCTGCTGCGCTTGCGTATGGTCTTGAGAAAAAACTTCAACGTGATCAAAACATTCTTATTTATGATCTTGGTGGTGGTACATTTGATGTATCGATTTTAACCATCAGTGGCGGCGATGAAGGTGGTTCAGTATTTGAAGTTAAATCTACAGGTAAATCAAATAGAGAAATATAATAAATTCAATGCATTGTATTTCTTTCCTTTCAGCTGGTAATACTCATCTAGGCGGTGAAGATTTTGATAATCGTCTAGTACAACATTTTGTTGATGAATTTCGTCGTAAACATGGTAAAGATATATCGAAAAATCCAAAAGCTGTACGACGTTTACGAAGTGCATGTGAACGTGCTAAACGAACATTATCATCGTCGACAACAGCTTCAATTGAAATCGATTCACTTTTTGAAGGAACTGATTTCAATACACAATTAAGTCGTGCTCGGTTCGAAGAAATGAATATGGTAAAGATGACGATTAAGATGAATGAAAATATAATGCTTGTTTTGTTCTTGTTTCGAATTAATAGGATTACTTCCGAGGTACAATTGGACCTGTTGACCAAGCTCTGAAAGATGCTAAATTACAAAAACGTGATATCGAAGAAGTTGTACTTGTTGGTGGTTCAACACGTATACCCAAAGTTCAACAATTATTATCGGAATATTTCAATGGAAAATCTTTAAATAAAAATATCAATCCTGATGAAGCTGTTGCGTTTGGTGCTGCTGTGCAAGCTGCTATTTTAACTGGTAAGAAAACAAAATCGTGCATTATTATGTTATTCTATGTGTACTTATTTTTAGGCGACAGGAGTGAAATGATTAAAGATGTTTTACTTATTGATGTAACGCCCTTATCCATGGGCATTGAAACAGCTGGTGGTGTAATGACAAAATTAGTTGAACGTAATCAACGCATTCCACATAAAAAAACAGAAACATTCACCACCTATGCCGATAATCAAGTAAGAAAAATTAATGTTCTCATCCACATAATTTTATTGATACTTGTTTTTTTTTAATTTTCAGCCAGCAGTATCGATTCAAGTCTACGAAGGTGAACGTTCGATGACACATGATAATCATTTGTTAGGACAATTTAATTTGGAAGGTATTCCACCTGCACGACGTGGCGTACCGCAAATTGATGTTACTTTTGATTTGGATGTAAATGGTAAACTAGAATTAATCATTCTTTCGAATTAATCAATCTCATTGTTTGCTGTTTTTCCATCCATAGGCATTCTTCATGTAACTGCTGAAGATAAGAGTACCGGCCGCAATAAGAAGATTCAAATTCAAAATGATAAAGGACGCTTATCGCAAGCTGAGATTCAACGTATGGTAAATGACGCAGAGAAATATCGTGAAGAAGATGAACGTGCACGTGAACGTGTTAATGCACGAAATCGTCTTGAATCATATTTATATGCATGTAAACAAGCTGTAGAAAATTATAATGGTTCGGCTATTAATTCTTCAGATAAATCAACTGTTTTAAGAGCATGCGAAGAAGCACAAAGTTGGTTAGATAGAAATCAATTAGCTGAAAAAGATGAGATTGAACATCAATATAAAGCATTGGAACAGAAATGTCAAAGAATAATGTCTAAAATGCATGGCGCTGGTGATGATAGAGGACAGCAGTATGGTCGTGGTAATGGTTACCAAGCAAATGGCGATGGTGGATATTCAGGTCCACGTGTTGAAGAAGTCGATTAAATTGAACAGCTTTTTTTCCGGTCATGTCGGTTGGCATATAATATTTGTAGAGTTTTGGGTAATCAAGATGCGTTTGTTACTATTGTCTCGTCAATGATTCTTTTTTGTGAATAAAAATTTTATTATATTTTCATTAGCTTAATCTAATGTGATTATTATGTGCCTATGGAAAAATTGTTTTGAATCAACAGGCGTTGATGATCTGAGTCAGTTCGATGCGTTTCGTACAAATCGCATCGAGTGGGTTCTCATGTCAATAAGCGTAACAAAGAAAGAATAAATTTCATACAATTAAAATCAATATTTAAGATAAATGTTGAACGCTGCAAAAATAGAGATTTGTCGTTTTCGATGTACATTGAAGATTCGTCATGAATAACAAAAATTCTATTTGTTTACTTTAAACGAATGGATGAAATGTATATCGAGGATAGGATAGATAGATAGAACAATAGTAGTTTGCTTGTTATTCATTCTTTACATTTAAGTGTGCGCATCAGAAGTAAATTGTGTTGATCATTATAACGCGATCGCCTCGTCCGTTTTGTTCATTACATCATGCAATGAAATTCTGTTGTTTTTGTATTCTGAAATTTTGAAATGCTGGCAAATTCAGGCTCAGCTTCCTTGTCATCAACTAATAAATGGCATTCAACAGCAACGCATACTTCATCTTCAATCACAACAACCCAAGGCTATCGTAATCGCCCATCAATTCCTTTATCAGATATTTCATCTAATATAAATGCAGCAGCAATGAGAACTTTTTCAAGAAGATGTGTTTATGTTAAAGAAGGTTAAATTTAGTTTTTAAACCAATCAAAAAAAAAAAGATTTTACTTTCCATTGTTTTGTTTTAGTTATTAGTGTTAATAATAGTGCGTCACATTTACCATTGGTATCATCAGATAATAGTTGTACAAGTGCAAGTGAATGTGAAAGTGGAGAATTAAGTTCAGATGAATATCCATCGCAAATTAAAGTTAAACCTAAATCAATTAGTCATTTTCAAGAAAATCCATCTATAGATTTAACACATGAAATGGGAACTTTAGCACAATTGCTTAATCATTCATTTACTGGCCATAAAAATATATCGATGATGTCTCAACGGTACGTATAGATATTTCTCGTTCAACTTAGACAATCCTATTGACAGAGTTAAAACAACTAAATTAATTAATACTATCCTTTGATTAAGTCTCTGTCAAAGTTAACCGACCAGCAAATTCGTTTATCATAATTTCATTCTAGACATGAATCAGATATTCATCGTCATGAAGTACCTGATAATCGAATGCGTTCGTCCTCATCAATATCATCAACGCCTCGAATTGAAAGTCCACGAAAAACGCGTCGTATGTCTGATCATTTATCTACAACCATTGAGCGACAAAAGACGCGTAGTGAACAACGAAATAATGCATATATACAATTGAAACATTTAGCTCAGCGACGTTTAAATGTTGTTGCAGAACTTGTTACTTTAGATGAACAATACGAAGCAACGCTTGGCAAATTATTACTTCCAGGCAATCATTAAGCATGCCTTTTTAGTTTAGTAATTGTATTGTACTAATATTCATGCAGATGTATATACATATATATATATATATATTGATAAATTATTATTCATTTGATTTGCTTGATTGAATAAAGAAAATTTAATATTTGAAAAAGAGAATGATGACTTTCAAGCAATTATGATTGTATGAAGAAAAAAGCGCTAATAGTCTGACGATATTCTTTTTATATTGAGTACTGCTATAGAAAGACATTCATCGTAATTCAGTTGACTTGAGAGCTTTTCTACGATATGCTTATTTTTGTCTGAATTCATAGCTGACAAAAAAATGTGGAAACTTCGGATTTCATCTGAAAGTTATGTGTACTGCAAAAAATGCATGGGATATATGAGTCATTCTAGAATGTCTGAACACCAAAATTATCATGAGAAACTAGGCAATTTGATTTCTGGATGCAGTTTTTGTGCATTTTGAGACGTTTTTCAGGCGATGTTTCATCAGAAAGCTACGGTTTAGCTCAAAAATAATATCAGATTCGGAATCAGCGTTAAAAACTGAGTCGATTTATATATGTTGTCAATGATCCTGAGAAAAATTTGTTTTTTAAAAACAAATCCCTGTACCCCTCCTCAGGGATGGCCTGGTCAAAAATGACAATTTTTTCGATAACTCAACCATTTCTTGAGGGATTCTTCTCCTCTTGGAACACGACCGAGATATTCATGAGATTGAACTGTGTGGAAAATTTCATCACGGTCTGACTCTCCTTTCGCGAGTTATCGTGCCTACGGCCGGACGGACACACTGACCGATTCTAGTGTACTCACTTTTTGAGTACACAAAAAGAACTATTTAATACATTATTGACAAGAATTTTTATTCAATCTAAGTAAAATAAAATTCCGCGTGTTTGGACACATAAACAATATTAAATTATAATCATAAACACGACATCGATGTCAGAATTAAATAGAAAGTTACTATTCGAAACTAAATAATAAATGTCTAGTTCTTCATTGAACCGAAGTAACACTATTCGATGTTTGAAAATGATCATTTTGATCGACTGGTGGATCGGATTTTTTCGGTTTGTATCCACGAAGTGATTGAAGATAATCGAATGATTGAAGACGATTACCGAGACAATTATAAATATCAATTAAACAATACGCATCATATGCTAAAATAAAAGAAAAAGAAGAATATAACGCAAAATGACTTTTACTTTTCAAAAACCTGCGTAATGAATTTGAGCTTGTCGCAATGGCCGTCGGTCCCAATTAGAACATCGCTCAGATTTATTTAATGTTTTACCAAAACATAAACGAACTAATTCACTCAGGCCTTTCTCTTTTGAAATTATATTATTTGGTAGTGTAGGATATGGAAATATATCTCGCCGAGTATTCAACAACTATTAATAAGAAAAGAAAGAAAAATAGGCAAATAGTTTTTGCTTTTATATATTTACCTCTGTTTGTACAAACGATAAATCTAATAAAGTCTTTCCCGAGAGAAGTACTTGATTGAAAATTGGATAAGAAGCAATCAGCATAGAAGCATCTGCTTGAAAACCGTAACCTACAAAATTTATTTTTCTTTGGAAAATTCAATTTTTAGAAACAATTTGAACTTACAAAGTATTGTCACGTGATCATCGTCGAACAAACGATTTGCTAAACGTCTTTGAATATTTTCGGGATCACATGTATGAAAAAAATGAAGTACATCAAGCAAGAATATTTCGTTCGGAAATGCTATTTGCACTATACTAAGACGTTGTTTAGATGTCGATGTATTATTAAATATTGGTTTCCATTCACCTAAAAATCACGATAGAGATATTGTTCTAAAAGGAACTTTTTCGAATTTAAGAAGAACAATCTTTTCTGTAGTGAATGTATAGAATGCAGCATGTTATTTAGTGATTGCTTAGTTCAATTTCTTTTCTATAAATCTAAGCGATTGTCGCACACACTAGAGAAAAATTCGACTTGACATCATCCTTAATCAGAAATGCAATGATATGTCAATTTTTTCTCACTCCATGTCCGGATACGTGCAATTGGGGATAAGAAAATGCTAATGAATTGCTCAGAATATAGATGTAATCACACAATACCAAAGGTATCTTTTATGCTTGTATAATGAAATAGGGAAAATTTTTGTATAGCACCTATGAAGACTCAAATAAAGATTTTCTATTTCTGAAAATGCAACTTTATCATGATATTTAAAATGAAAATTGAAATACAGATCGAATTATTTTCATCAGCAGCAACAGAAAAACGAACACATGTCAAAATCCAAAATATTTTTTAATAAAAATTACTTACAATCAAAACCAAGTATTAGCTCTTCTTGACTATTATTTCCATTAAATAAACGATCAAGTAAACGTTCATATCCAGGCATGGAGTCAACAAAAACTATTTGTATATCTTCAAGCGGCATTTTGTAATATTCAATAGATGCGATTTGCTTAGGGCTTTTATCAACGGCTACTGTTGTAGATCGGCTGTTTGGTTTAGAACGAATATACCTTTGTACCTTTTTCGAAAAAAAAAGGAAACAATTAATTTCTTATTTTAGCAATCATTAGAACTAATGTCCCACATAAAAAAGTTACTCGATTAATCTGAATTATTAACTTTGATTTTCAATTTAACAAAGTCAATGGATATAAAATAACAGGCTGAATGTTTGTAAATCACAGCAATCTGATCTCTTTCGGAATCAATTCATATTTACTATGCTCGTGGGTAGGTGTTATTGACAATTAATGGAAATGTTTTCTTTGTATTCTATCTAATACATTTTCGATATATATATATATATTTTTTTTTTGTAACAATCATAAATCATATTAGTATAATCTCACTAAAAAGACTTACATACCCAAGGAGGTAATGTATGCTCAGGTCGATTTAACCATGCGACTAAATACAAAAAAAAACGACACTTGATAAATAAGAATGATCCAAACTATTTCTTACTCCAATATCTAACAGCAACAATATCATCTTTATCAACAAGCAATTCGATGAAATAATCCGATAGGTCATTATTGCCTAATATAATTTCCTTAAATACAATGAAAAATAAACTAAGCAATTTTTTTTGTCTATTTTTACTTCAATTAATTCGTTCCAAGCTTCGTCACTCGTTGTTTTTTCTTCAATATTCTCAAAATATTTAACATTAATTAAATAACTTAATGTTCTTCTATGTTGTAATGTAGATAAATTTGGATACTTTTCTGTTTGCTCATTTCCCAATGTATTCCAATAGCGAACCGCTAATTTACCGAGAGCTTTTTTATTAAGATTTAAATTTCGGATATTGAATTGGTTGGATAAAATTTCTCGAATTTTCTTCCCTCCACTTTCATATAAATAATCTAGTAACTCTAATACATATCCTTCTAATTGTGGTTTCTTATCCATATAGATATGAATAAGATGATCTTTTGTTTGAAGTATTAATGGTAATAAAATTTCATTTGGAGAAAATTCTAATTGATAATTGAATTTTACAATTATATTTAGTGCACGTTTATATGACGGTGAATTTAATGGATCAAATATTAAAGTTCGTAATAAAAATAATAAATTATCTTTCGAAATGTTAAATATTTCACAGAAATCTTGTAAGAATTTTATTGGTAATTTTCTTAAAATTAAATCACTAATTAAATTTTCATCAATATGAGGAATTGCGACAGTTTTATTTGATTGATTTTTCCATTGAACAAAGGAATGAATAAGACAATTGATTAAATTCATATTATTATGATGTGATTCAGATAATAGTAAAAGATATTCAAATAAATCATTGTATGGTTGATGGGAATTATTAAAATGATTTATAGCTAACTCAATAGCCTCTTGATCATTGTGTAAATGCAATTTTTCAGACAGACTTGACAATAATGATGACATTTGTTGCAAAAAATAAAAACTGAATACAATAATTTTTTTTTGTTTTGTTTCCGGATAACTTTTATTCGTATAAAACATAGCAAATGTTTTTCCAATGCAAGACAGATGGCAGCATAAACCAGCTGAACTAATTTTCAATTTTCATCAACAATGTTTTACATCGTTCGTTCATGATCGCCATCTAGATATTCCTGACTAGTCAAAATTAAAGAGAGAAACAATGTAAATAAATATGACGCGAAATCGGTACCGGCAAAAAGTAGACACAATTACTGTAGAAAATGATTTAACATCTGCAGGAATCAATATATTTTATTGTATAGAGTCTGTTGGGCCAATAAAATAGAAAAGTAGATTGCATTGCTGGACTTTTTCCGAGTGTTTCGGTTCCCGAGGCGTAGTTATATTCTTTAGGAATGAGTATGAGTTCGACCATAAATTATTAAAAACAGTCATTCACTATTAAAACATAATTTGAATATGTATAATCATGGAATACAACAAGAAAAAGCCTAGAGGAGAAGCAAACAAAATGTGCCACAAAAATTGCGAAGTTCAAATCCTATTTAATACAATTAATTGAGTTAATAATAGAGCTATTGTTAAAATTAATTTTAAATACTAAACAAATGAATTGAACAAGGTACGTAATGGTTGTAGTGTTACTACAAGACATTCAAATCGTGTTTTCATCTAGTAAACTTGAAACGGCGCATTAATTTAGATACTAAACATTGCGACAGAACTCATAAAAGTTTGATTAGTATTGAAAATAAATTTAAAAAAAAGATTTTAGTAATCAAAGTTTTTATTTACTCAATCATAGAGAAATCCTGGAAACATTAAACTTAATATTCTGTTTTTTTGTTAGATGTCGAGGTCTGTATATTTCAAATATAGGACTGGTCGTTACACGTTGAATGTAGTTTCCATTTAGATAATTAAATTCTTTCTATCCACAAGACAATATATAAAAATTTCATCGAGCAGTTTCATTCAGTTTTGTTCTTCTTCATTACTGTAGTCTATTGTGTTAAAATATTATTCAAAAAATCACTGAGGTCTATTCTTTGAAGTGCAATATCAAGAATAGTTTGTCTATATTCTCCAAGTATTGTCAAACTATAGCATAAGAAATAAATCCAAGGGGGAAACGGCAAACTTTTGATCTTTAAGTTACTTTGAGCTACTTCAAGTAGTCTACTTTGAAGTATTTTTCTACGTCAAGCCCTCCGTTTGCCCCTTGAATAAATCACTAATCAGTTACAAAAAGATTTCCTATTTTTCTCATTGATAAACGCTGTTAGTGCAATTCATCTGAAATCAAAATATGTTGCACAGCTCAGTTAGTATTTCTCATGATAAGGAATTAATTTTATTATATCTATTTCGAAATCGATTTTTTTTTCGTCTGATTCTTACTTTATCTTGTGGAAACGCAATAAGCAAAGTAGCTTATATATCACAAAAAAATGAGGAAACATCGGATTCGTATTCGATTGTTATTTGTACTGCAAAAACTGAGTCGATTTATATATGTTTTGAATAATTCTGAGAAAAAACTTTTTTCGTTGATAAGAT